AAATTTCACTGAAAATGGTGAAAAAAGTTTTGGGCAAAAAAATTATTGGTGAAAAAAATTTTGGGCAACTCTGAGATCGTCGAAGACTTTGAAATCTGTCGCGATCGTTAATCGACTGGTCACCCGATCGACCAAAGTCGGATCCAAAAAAAGTCCAGACGAGACGACCCAATCAGATTCTGCTCCAATAGATCTCGATGCATGGTTGCGAACGGGAGTTCTGGCAGAAGCAATTGATCATTTTCAAGCTCATTTGCACAAAACGGGCCATCTCGTTATGTTTAATAATAACTGGCAGAATGACTAGTATTTATATATAAGAAACACCAACAAAAAATTTCGGACAAAAAAATTTTTGAAAAAAAAATTTTTGGTCAAAATATTTTGGTCACAAAAAATTGATGTGTTTAGCATATCACAGATGGCGGTATTGTGCTTCAAATTGAGCGTTTGATTTGGCATAAGGTTTCTTTAATTATAGTCGTAGTCCCGGCCCGCAAGTACGTGCGTGCCTTGCGCGCTTCATTTTTTCATTTTATATTTTTTAGGCCTCATTTAATTTATTCAAATTAATCAGGTTCATCTTTTCTATTTGTACTACTTATATTGAACTATTTCATATACCACGTCGCCATTGAGATTTATATAAAAATGATCGCGACCATGTCATTGGGTTCAGCACAAAATCAGAGAAAAATGGGGAAAAATTTTTTGGAAAAAAACCATAGAGTTTTTGGGGAACAAAATTTGGGGAAAACCATGGACTAGTTGAGTTTTTGACTTTTTGGGAAAAAAAATTTTGGAAAAAAAATTGCGGAAAAAAATTAGGGAAAAAACTGGAAAAAAAATTGGGAAAAAAAATTTAGAAAAAAATTGAGGAAAAGAAAATTTTTGGAAGAAAAAAATTAGGGAAAAATTGTGGAAAAAAAAATTGGGGAAAAAATTTTTGGATTTTTTTTAAATAGCTACTAATTGTTATATTAATTTTTAACAAACTAAACTTCTGTAACTCTATTAATATTTCTTATTTATTACAAACATTTTTAAATAATTACTAATTATTATATTAATTTTTCACAATCTAATATAAAAATTCGAATCGATCTTATTCGAAGTATGAAACTCTCCCTAGCTGCCGACCTTTCTGACCCAGATGATCATCTTGAAATATCCGTTACTGACCCACTCCTGCATTTGCTCGATGGAATGGGGCCCATAAACGTCGTCGTCCTCCGAGGAGCCCAACTTGAGTCCTTTATTCGTTGCTGAGGACTTTGGGTACCCTTCTGCAATCGCTATTTTAGCCTTTGCCTTCTCGTCGAAGTCATCGGCGTGCACGTCGAGTTGGTTTTAGAAAAAATCATGGACAATAGTCCTAGATTTTGAAACTGAAATTAAAACAAACTAGTGGTGTATGGCGTCGTGCATTAAGGCAAATTGCTGGAACTTACCATACGAAAATTAAATTAAAAAAAAAATTAAATATGTTTTAAATTTTGAAGAAATTAGATTTTTGAGAAATTTTAAATTTTGGAAAATAAAATTACTTTTTTTGGAAAAACAAATTTTGGGAAAAAAATGTTTTTTTTAGTTTGGAATAATTTTGAAATATGGTGTATAATTTTGAAATTTGAATTTTTTTTTAAAGCAATCGCACTGCCTTAGCTGCATAGAGACGCAATATTGAGATATGTCTAATGATCATAAAAATAGCAGTCCAAGTTTTGACTTTATGTTTCACTTGACTTCACATATACTTATGATCGTCGATCGATGCATTTGCAAAATGTGTTTGTTAAAAATTTTCATGAAAAAACGAGAAAATTGTAAAAATGGTTATTATGTTGGGTTTTGAGTTCGAATTCCCAAGCAATTTATTAATTTAACACATCATTTGTATGTAAGACAGCATGTTTATTAAATCTGTAAAAAGGACAAAAAGTCTTTCTCAAAATAGTTTGGAATTTCTTAATTTTCGAGTAGACGAGGTTGTAAGGAGACCGACATAGACAACTTATAGTCCATCGGATCACAAAAACGAAAAGTGCACACAATTTATCTTTATTTATATATATATATATATATATATATATATAAAGGGAATATTAATTAATTTAATATTAATTCAATATTAAATATTTATTCTATTCAACATTTGTACATAATCTTATTGATGAGATTAACCTAATGCATAATCATATGGCAAAGGTAGCATAAAAATCATGCATCTTTTGACTTTGATTGATTAACTTCTATTTTCAATAAAAGAAAAGTATTGGAAGTATATAAAACATTAATAAAAACATACTTCTATGCACTTGTGTGCATAAAATCATTCCACAAATTGTTTATATATATATATATATATATATATATATATATATAAATTATTTGAGTTTAAAAGTCGGGCGTACCATCAATAAAAATAGTATGAGAGTTTGTAGAAATGTATTTAAAATCCGTACATTTCGGCTAGTATCTTAGCTTCAGTGGCAATCAATATAACTATGAAAATTAAAACAAAAGAATAATATGTAAGAAATTTCATAGAAAAACAATAATAATAATAAAAAACACTTACAATTTTTTATCCTAATATAACAGATGAAAACATTATTACTCCATGGCATATTTGTTAACACCACAAATGGCAAAACACACAAATTAGCATGAATAACTTTTAATAAGTTGTTGAAACTATATATTGACTATTCGTAGTCTAATTGTAAGATAGAAATGTCACGTTTTTCTTAAAGCAGTTCTTCACATATGTTAAAATTTCACAAGAAATTCAAAAAGAGATGGAATCTTGTCATTTTTTAAGAAATTTTGACACGCTACTTAGGAACCACTACAATGTTTATTGATGTAACGTCCGACTTTTAAAATCAAATAAAATGTATTACATCAACATCAAATTGAAGACTATTCAAATATACAAAATATATATATATATATATATATATATATATATATAATTGTGCTTCAACTTAAAATACATAAGTATAAAGATGGGCCACACCCAACGAACGAACACGAACGAACACGTCGAACAAGAAAATACAAAGAAGAACGAACAGGAACACGAACGAACGCGAAAAATTCCAAACGAACTTGAACAAGCGCTTAAACGCAGTGAGGGCTTGAATGTCAGTTTTCAAGTGAGGGAAGGTGAAAAAAGTGATCGACATGTACAAACAGACTTGAGAAAGTATAATGTTATCGTAGGAAGTGCTTTTTTTATATTAAATTCATTGCTAAAAAATATGAAACAAGCAAGAAAGCGACGTTGGTGGATAACATCTTTATTTAAAAGTAGAAGCCGGTACAGTTTAATATTTACTTGTAAAGACTGCCATTTCTTCTTTACTGCAGCTTCTGACGTCCCAAACGTTTTGCCTACACTTTCCCAAGCATGTTTTTTTTCTAATAATTTTATAAAAACGGTCTTTAGTATCCCATAATATAGGAAAATTTTCTATTTCATTTATGAATGATAAAATTACGTCATTTGATAATTCCATAATTTATTCAAAATTTTCAAACTGTACACAACAATCACAAGTGAAGATTAAAACAAAAATGTTTGTTTGCGTTCGTTGAGACGTCCACACTGAAAATACGAGTACCAACATGAACGAACAATTCACTTTGATAAACCGACAAGTTGCGGAACATTGCTCGCCATGTTTGTTTATGTTTGTTCGTGATCGTTGTGGCGTCCACATTATGCTGTTGCCGTTCGTTCTGGTACGTACATTCATGTTCGTTCGTGTTCGTTCGTTAGGTGTGGCCCACCTTAACATAATTTAAAATTGATAATTTTCAAACAAAACAGATTAATACTCATTAATTAATTTACACATTTTTCTACTACCACATAATTTTACTCCAGTTGCTAAATATACCCTTCAACCAAAGTACATATTTTGATTATTAAAACATTTTCAAAAAAGGTTCAAATTTGGCTGTAAAAGTAAACTTTAGTTATTGAGTTGAAGTATCTCATACAAAGGTCATACAAGAAATAGGTCTAGGTCTAGAACTGTTAATGAAAACTAAAATTTTAAAGCATAAATCAAAGTACTGTTGACAAATTTGAATCATCGTAAAGTTCTGATATTTATTAATAATTTCAAGTTCAAACACAAACATATACATTAATTACTATATTAATATTTATTTAAAAAATTATAATTTAAAGTAATTTCTTAAAATATAAATTTCGTTTATTCTATAATCTTATCTCATCAAGTTAGAATTTTGTAATTTCAAAACATTTAGCAAATAATCTAATTCAATGTTAAATAATAAAACACTTATAAAATAGAACTAAAGCGACAATATAATAATTTATTGAAACTTAAAATAAATTTAAAACAAATGTACTTAAATTATCATTACTAATAAAATTTCTTAATTCCATAAGACTATAACTGAATACAATCAACAGTGGTAAATGAGCATGTTATAAGAAAGAAGTCATATTGCCAATCGCTATATATAGCAATTGAAATATTTTTTTCAACTCTCATAGTACTACTAATTATCACAGATCTAAGCCCATCAACTCCACAGTTGATATATGTAGTAGAAAAGTAAAATCTTATAAAAAGGAATAATTTACCTAAATAATTTAAATAATAATTGCATCATTTCAATATAATTCCCAATTACCTTCTGAATCAATTTAAAATTGTATATTCACCACGAATATACAATTTATGCTATCAATTAGTTCATAGTTATTTAGATTCTTGTAAATGCAAGTACAAAAACCTATTATAAGTTAAAACGACTAACATTGTCTAAAATATGAAACTGATTGACATAACTTAAGATAAAAAAAATATGAAGATGGCCAATTTATTTAAAAAAAAAACGCCTAAAATGATTTGTGTCTGATATAAATAATATCATATAAAGCATAACCCTTCAATATATAAAAATTAAGTAAATTTGAATTAAAATTGTATATGCAGTGAACAAGTATTGTTGTTTAGTATATTATGTAATACTAAAATTCACTCACAAATCTAACCGAACAAATGAGTTAATAAAATTGCACACATAATATTAATTACACAAAAGAGAGTAGTACTTACAAACAAATTCTCCAGGGCTTAGCTTGATCATCATTTGTTAAATTGTCATTTATTTCCGAATCAGAACTCTTTATATCTGAATAGCTAGGTAATCTAAAATGTGATAAGTCTCTTTCATGATATTCTAAATGAACCACATGTTTACTACGACTCCTTTTAGCTGATAAATTGATTTTAATTTTTCTTTTTTTTCTCCTATGTGGTGAAGTTATTGAAGACATCTGATCCACTTCTGATTCCGTTGGTTCACCAGCTGAACTCGAGACTTCATTCCCTGATGCCTCGCTAGGCGTTGGTATGACTTTTAAATGATAAACATCCAAATCACCGTTCATGATAGTATCACAAACTCCACCTAGTCCTAGATCATTTATACTGCCTTGAGTGTTATCTCCAGTTAATTCTTGAGAAGATATTGGCATTGTCATAGTTTTATTTGTGACATCTGGATAATAATCAGAACGTAGTGTCTGTAAAAATATGAAAAGTAATTAATTTTTATTCTTAATCATTAACTTACCGAAGAAGAAGTTTATGTTTTCATCAAAAAATTCGATTCGCTAATTTTATGTTTTCTCGACGTTTCAAACCATTCTGAATCGAATGACATCAAATTTGGAAATGCGTGTGTTTATATGTGAACAGCTTTTTTGCCGTAATCGACAAAATTTGCAAAAATTATCTTCGTTTTTATGGCATTTGTCAAAATTAGACTTTTCATCGACGTTTGTTCAAAAACGCCCGAACAGATTTCAGAAATTTAAAAGCTATTTAATGTATCTTAATGAGGACTATCGTTTGCCAGTTTTGTGCGTCGATCTGCCAAGCCGTTTCTTTGTAATTTGGAAAAAAGCGTTAAACTTTTCGTCCACATTTAAACTCATACTACCGAAATCAAAAACCCTTCAAATGATATTAGTTGGATATGACACTGATTAGTTTTTGGTAAAAATCTACCAAACCGTTTTCTTGTTATTAACTTATGAAAAAAAAATTAAACCAATTTTTATGGAACTTTTTTGGCGCTATTATATATCATGGTCTTATAGAACTTAATGAAATGTTACGGCCTTACGACAAGTAGTTTAATATTTAAAATTCATCAAAGTTTGAGAAAAGAGTAATTTTGTACGTTTGTTAGACGATTTACTTGGTACAACAATAGAGTACTTGGTCTTAATGAACATACTAAATCATTGAAGTCCAACGGAAACTAGTTCAATTATAAAAATAGTTGATTATTGAAAATTTGCTTTTAGAAATCGTGTTCGTTCGTTTTCAATTATGTATAATAAGTCCACTCGGAATACTTTATTCATTCATTAATTAATTCATTTATTATTTCTTTATTTTTTAATGATTATTATTTTTTTTATTGATTAAATCGATTACTTACACATATCGGGAAGTTCATGTAACTTGCCTCAAGGCAAAATACCAATACCAAATAGTTTTGCATTAACTGCAAATGATATAATAACTTATACATAATTATTGTATTATTATATTGCAAGCAGAACAAATATTAATTATGTAAATATGAATGCTTGATACTATTAAATACTGTTTGTCTCTTGAATGGTGTCAACATTTGTGAAAAAAAATTCACAATTGAGTCAATTGATCTTGGGCCATTTATTATCAAACTACTTTTTTGTAAAATGTTTGAATGGTATTTACTTAATTTTATATATTTACATTGAATAGCATGTACATAGTATGTTAATCTTTAATCAAGGGGTAAGACCGTCGGCTTTTTTACAACCTTTACTTTTATAACAAAAGTATTATTTCTTATACGTTTCAGACAGTTGTAAAATGTATTGTTTAATAAAAATAATAAAACCAGTTGAAGTGGCACTTTACCATTAATTAACCTAGCAATATTTTAAATTATCAACTTAATCAATCAGATATCAAAATATTGATTTATGCGTCATTTATAAGTATATCTGAGAGAATCTATTGCAGATTATTCAATTTTGAACGAATTTATTAATTACATATTATTGAAAAACAAGCACATGTCTAATACATACACGCATTATTATTCTATAAGCGCTGATTAATCCGAATTTTATTTAATTTCTAAAATTAAATCATTTTTCTTAGGACTATGATGATATTTTAGTACATTCATCAGAACCTGGCACTCTCGCCAAACAACATTTCTTGTTTCGGAAGTTAATAATAATCTAGTTAATTGACATGAACTAAATACATTTGTTACTTGTAACATCATCATTAAGTAAGTGAAAAAAGGGCGTATATATATATATATATATATATATATATATATATATATATATATACATATATATTATATATATATATATATATATATATATATATATATATATATTTGAACTTAAAGAACGTTACATCAATATGAATATTATGAGAGTTTTTAGAAATTTATTTATATCCATACGTTTCGTTTTTTTTTTCAAGATCACCTTTCTTGACACATGTCCTAAAGATGGAATGTAAATAGTTCCGAAACGTCGACAGCAAATAAAAAAATAATAGCAAGGATGCTGTATGTCACCGAACGAGGCAATTGAAGGCGCAGGAGATTTTTCGATTGGTGGTAGAAGAATTACCATCATAAAGTACGCTGATGATCTAGTAGTGATATCGAAAAACCAAATCAAACTGCAAAAGATGATGAGCAGAATCGTCGAAGTGGGTAGAAGATACGGAATGAGAATCACAAAAAGAAATAATCCCCGAGGATAACGGTAGGAAATCGAGAGTCTGGAGCATAGCTTCGTACGGATCTGAAACGTCGACTCTAAGAAAGGCGGATAAGAACTACCTCGAGAGTTTTGAAATGTGGTGCTGGACAACAATTCACACGCATTAAGATTATTTATGTTATTATTTTATTATATTACATATTATATATATATATATATATATATATATATATTAGAGATGGGCTTATTATATCCGAAGCCGGATCGACTCGGATTTGACTCCGCTTCATGGTGGAGTTATATCCGCTAAACAACTCCACGACTCCGACAATTTTGAAACCGAAATACTCGAAACAAATGTGTTCTATAGTACGCTGTTCATGTATCTAAGGATTTGTCAAATCCCATTAATTATTTGAAATTAAAATTTATGAAAAACTATCAATAAAATAATTTTTCTAAAAAATTCACGAATAAATGACGGATTGTAAAATTTTTCGGTCGACCAGATGATCGACTCAGTGACTCGTATTTTTAGCAGTGTTGACCAAAGTAAAAATGCAAAACTTGAGAATCAAATTCAATTTAATGATTTCCTTTTGATGAGAAAATAATTGATTTTTTGGATTAATTTTATATAAAAATTATGTAGTAAACTTTGTAATAAAAGCAAAACATAATACTTCTGCTTTCAAAATTTTTCTTCTGCTATTTTCATTTGAGAATTAATATTATATCGCGTAGTTCGATTAGCATATTATTACTTTTACACAATTACATAATTGTGTAAAAGTAATAATATAATACTGAATATTTTTTTTACTGCTTAAATACTAATGATATCACTGATAAATTTTGTACTCAAAAGTGTTGTTATTTTAGGCTATGGCAAAACAGATTAAATAAAAGTATTTCGTTTCGTATATTTTTCGGTATGTATATTCTGGATTGCCGTCATTTACGGCCAAAGATTGTCGTAGTTAGAAATATCACCCCTTACTATTCAATAAATTATACATTTGAGCTATTCACACTTGAATACAATTTCATTGTTCTGTATCTTTAAAGTAACATTTTTGTATTTTCTGGAGAATACACCTAAAAAAGGTCATAAAACTGCCTGCGAGACAAGAAAGTGACCGCTTCCTTCCTAAAGCAAATACGACAAAAACACTAAATGCCTGTACGAGTTAACAGATTTAATACCAGTTTAAGGAAGTCGGATATGACAAATCCTGTGAAACAACTCCACTCGGATTTACTCCAAAGGAGAGTTGTATCTCTAATAATATATATATATATATATATATATATATATATATATATATATATATATATATATGAAATTCTTAGATTAACTTATACATATTAACGGCACATAAAATATTTTTAGGAATTAAATCAACAAGATGTAGCTCATCCGAGGCAAGTTTAATTTCAGTCCGAGATAGAATTAAATTTTGTGTTGTTATTTATATTTTTTTTTATTTTGCAAAAAATGATGTGGTATTGATTTGGCTTTGAGAAATAATTAGTTTTTATTTTTATTTAAAAAAAACATACATTTTGAATTTAATATCTGACCAATTTAGAGCTGTTTCGCATTACGCTGTATGTTGTATATATATCACTTTATTTTTCATGAATACCATTGATATTCTTTTAGTTATATTATAATATTGAGATAAAAATAAAAGGTGTATTGACTTTTAATTGTAAATATTGAATTTAAATAAGGTATCTATCTACCCATCTATATATATAGTTAATTTTAATTACGATACTTATAATGCTATATATAATCATAATCATACCTTTGTCAAATTCAAATGTGTTCCCTGCATCATGCATATCCTTCAGAAGTTGTGTGAATGTTCTGTAGCATTCCATGTCAACACTTGATTCAGAAGATGTTCTTCTTACTTACGCTTTGCAATTTTATTATTCATATATTCTAAACCTTCTTCCACGGCTCTCTGTTTCATGCAATGCCTGACAAAAGCTTTCTCTTCTTCATTAGTGATGTGACGTTGATGTAAATCATTTCTACGCTTCATGAAATCTAGTGGTACTATAAACCTTTTCCAACAATTTTCCCTTCTGCAAGGTGTTGATATTCTGCAGTGCAGCTCAAAATGTGCTTTTGATCATCAAACATAGCTATATTATTGTCACAACAAATGCACATAACTGGACTAGAAATGTGAGTCATCAAGTGACAATCTAAATATTTTCTAAAAAAAAAAAACGTGTTTTTATTACATCAATACCTAAATCACAATCATATATTTTACAGACAACTGTTAATCATCAATTATTGTAGTAAAAATTATAAATTGATTATAAACAAATTTTGACTTTTCTATTTGTAAAGGGTAATGAAATCGGAGAATCAGAAAAATAACAAAAACAATATTCATTAAAAATGTTCAATATAAAAAAATAGTCAACAATAAGATATAAAGCCCTCAAATTTGAATGGATAAGGGCAAAGATAAATATTTCATTTAAAATAAAGTATGTCTAGTATAATTAATTTTAATTATATATTAATAAAGAAACTTGAAACATACTTGCAAGTAAATCTCATTGAGCATTCCTCACAATAAAACAGTTTTAGTAATAAATGTTCTTTCTCTTCATGCTCCATGAGATCATCTAAGTTATTAAATTTACCAGAGCAGCTAATTTCCATACACTCATATATTAGGGCATTAAATCCTACAAAATTTAATTCATTAATTGCATTACTTATTCCTTGTGCATCATTTGGTTGTCAAAGCAAAATATAATTTATATAAAATATTGCAATTACAAACTAAATGCATTCTTTCACACTCACCATCATTTTGTGACCTTACTGATCTTCTATATAGTTTTCTATAATTATTGCTACTTCGGCTTGTGCTGCGACTGGTACTCATTTGACTATAAGAGTTTGGTGTACCCATTCGACTAACACTGTTCCTTCTCTTTGCATAACTATTTCTTCTATGACTTAAGTGATTTCTTCTCTGACTAAAATCTGCTCGATTTTGACTTACAGTAGTTCTGCTACAATTGGAATTCCAACAATTTTCGGATTTTAAATCTTGTTCCAACTGTTTAAGAGCTCTAGTAACATTCCTAGTACGTGGTCTTGATGATAAAGTTGATATGTTAGTCAAAATAGTTTCTTTACTTTTATTACCTTCATATGAATATTCAGAAGAATTAAAATTGCATTTAGCTTCCAGATCAGTGGAATCTAAAAAAAGAAAAGTGCTAAAATATTTTTATTAAAACAGCAAAAAAGTATATAAATCTTATGAATACTTCTAGAACCAGCAGTAAACCCAGAAACAGCAGTAAATCCAGAAACAACAGAACCAGCATCATCAAAATCTTCAAAATCAGATGTTAACCTATCCCAGTTCTCCATATTATTGCCAGATTTTGAGAATAAGGTGTAGTTGCTCGATTCGATATAAAGCTTTCTGCAGCTGACATTGATGAATTTCGGCCAGGAAACGGCGTTGATGATCGAGTAGTTCTGCTTGCTACAACATTAATTATGTAAAATTAAATTTATTTGTTATATAATCTGATATTAGTTTGCGTAATCAAGGCGATATATATACAGTAGAAGTCCTTTAGTCCGGCTTGCTTATGACCGACTAAAGAAACATCAGAGCTCATTTTAGAGATATGGTTTCTTTGGCAAAGTATCTTATTTTGATCCCTAGTATACGAAAATGCGTCTATGCGACTTTTTTTTACCCATACAAATTGACCCGTCCTAATAGGGTACCCTAATATATATACAGTAGAACCTCGATTATCCGGACCTCGGTTATACGGATTCGCGATTATCCGGACATAATCGCATCGAAACATGCATATTCCGCCCGCGCTAGTAAGTTCTGACGTGCATATATACATTAATATATACATTTTTAAACATGCCAAAGCGTAAGAGGGTGGTGTTATTCCTTAAAGATAAAATAAATATTATAGAATCATTGAAAAAGGCGAAATCGGCCGTAAGTTAGCTGATAGGTATGGTGTAAATACAGTAGGTACATCCACTATAAGCAATACTATTAAAAGAATGACGATTCAATTTTGTCATACACTTGCAAGTTAGTTAGTGAAGAGGGGAGTGAAAAAGTTAAAATGATGAAGAGACCGAAAAATGAACTTTTAGAAGAAGCTCTATATTGTTGGTTTTTTCAAAACGATCAACAGGACAACCGATATCTGGACCTTTGCTATGTGAAAAGGCATTACAGTTAAATGAAAAATTAGGCGGCGATGAATCGTTTGTGGCAGGTAGTGGATTGATTTTTGTTGATATCTATGTATGCATTTGTTATTTTTGATAAACAAAACATTATTCTTCATAATTGGGATTATCCAGATTTTCGATTATCCGGATGCCCATTGACGACAATTAGTCCGGATAATCGAGGTTGTACTGTATATATATATAAGGTTGGTCCATATATAATGGGCAATAGCACTAAATAAAAATCTAAAGCAATTAGGAAATCAGCTTTATTAATCCATACGTTTTAATCTTCATCAAAATTGTCATTCAGTGGAAAAAGACAAAAACTAACTACACTATACAAACTAACACAATTGTAACACCAAGCTATCAATCATTCAAACATTTAAAACTAATTATGAATTTGAGTTAAAAAAACTAGATTTCTGTGCATCGTTGTTGTAAGACTGTATGCTGAATGAATTCTTTCTTCATTCTGAATGAATGAAGAAGGAGCATTACTTGTCGTAATTTCAAATCCACGGTTAATTATATAAAATGTAAAAATATTATGGATGATATATGATTTTAATTTATAGTTTAGTGATAACTTATATCAAAAACTATGAAATATTATTTCAAAAACAAATACTTAAACTTATACTTTCTTCTCAACCAACAAAAACTTCATAAACATGCAAACATAATTAATACAATGCAATCAATTGCAAATATTTACCACTGGACAAATTGAGGTTAGCCACTTCATCGTCACATTCATCACTTTTGTATTGTTTATGGCTCCTAGCAGAACTTCTCCTTCTTCTTGTAATATTTTTTCTTTTTTGTTTCTTACTAGTTTGAACTTTTGCTGATTCTTCAATCCACTTTTCTAATTCTTGTTTACTGATTTCTGACAGCTCATTTGCTCTTACCTAAATGAAATAAACTTTATTAGTATTATTACATTTGAATAATGAGCTTTATGGTAATACTTCATCAATACAAAAAACAAATAAATAAATAAAGTAAAAGAGTAATAATATGGAAGAGATTATTATAATTAGTAAGCAGTTAAACCTATTCCATAAACATAATGGATTACTTAAATCATTCTTAAATTAAGATTTTGGCATACTTCAGAAAAAATGGATGTGTTTTGAAAGAAACGATCATCTCATTAGAATGATCCAAAAAACATTTTGATTGTGTTGACGGTGCAAAGAAATGATTAGTTTTTGGGGACAGCAGGTTCAGCATTTTTGAACAAATAGTTGTTTTCCAAAAATTTAGAATATATTTAAAATATTCAAATGTTTTATCTCATAATTTTTTTATGAGATTTCATGTATGTTTTCATTTCTTGTAAAGATACACACAAATTATTAGTAGAATTCGCTCATTGTCTAATTCAATAAATTTATGGTACTGATAATAATCAGTTTCAAAGCACATATGTAAAATAATTGTTATAATCATTGATCAATTTATTTATTTGTTATTGATTTTTATTCCTCGAATGCTAAATTATAGTATGAAAAGTCCCAGCAATTTGCCTTAAGGCATAATGCCATGCACTACAAGTTTCAATATAAAGTTAAAAACATTACTAACCAGAGATGTTGATTGTTCAGTGCCCATGACAGAAACATTATCATTGTAATCAACATCAACCTCATTAATAATACTTGAAGGACCAGGTGTTGAGCTTTGCCTACTTCTAGATCTAGTCCAAGCGCCATTATCATTAGCATTCATTGATCGGTTTGCTCCTGAACATTTTGCCACATGCCATGTAAAGTCCATTGGATTTGCATATTCAGCATTACACACCTAAAAGCATGTTATATTATGCATAAGATAAAGTTTTAGTTTTAAAAACTACTCATTCTGCTTCAAAAAAAGATCCAAAAAATTGTAAATTCTAATTTCATAAAAACAAGTCAAGTATAATGTTTTCATACAGCCGTTTATGGTATAAATAAATGAATAGTCAAAGAAAAAGTTAGTGTTTTCACTATTTTTCACATTGACAAAACACTTTGGCATAAGAAAGTATGCATGCATACTTTGATACATAATTTTTAGATAATAATAATAAATATTAAGAATTTATTATTATATATGCAGCAATTCTCCTCCAGTTTGACCAATTTTTATTCAAATTTAGTATAATTGAGAATAGGGCAACAACTACTTTTCATACCCCTAAATAAGGGTGGTTGACCACCCTTAAGATTTTTTTAAATTTTTTGGACCTGTTTCTTTAATTTAATTTTTTTACAATTCATAATTAAATAACACATACATCCCAAAATTTCACTCTTCTACAACAAACCCTTTAAAGTCATTTAAATAATTTTTCATCCCGCTTTCAGTAAATAAAATTTTCTCATCGGTTTATTATATATATATATATATATATATATATATATATATATATATATATAAATATATGTATGTATATATATATATATGTGTGTGTGTGTGTGTATGTGTGTATGTGTGTGTAATTATTATAAGAGTCATTTCTATAATAAATTTATTTCAAATGATTCTAATAAAAAACATACCTGGCAATTATATCTTTTATGAGATTTCTCATGTTTTTTCAACATATAATTTGTTCGGAAACTATTATGGCAAATTTTGCATACATGCGATTTATCTGCAGCCTTCTGTTCTCTTTGTTCCTTCAAAGCCCTCCTCTTATCATGAATATGAGTATTGACAAGATGCCTATTCAATAATAACTGTGTTCTAAAGTACTTTTTGCAGAATGCACATGTACTTGATTTTCTTCTGGCCGCAATAGTAATTTCATCATTCTGCTTATCAACACGACCGCCTGATTCTGTTTCTAATGCAGATTCGACTGGTGTTGTATATAGAACTTCAAGTAATGGAGGATGATTTTCAGGCATCATTGGCAATACATCTTTCTCATCATCTATGGCTATGTTATTTCTGGATGATTTATGACCTACATCAAATGAACTACCTTTGTCAATTGGAGAGCTATGATAAGTTGGTCCTCTTGTGTTAGCGTTGATGTGATTAAAATTGATTTGAAGAATTTCATTTTCATGCACTTCAAGCATCTAAATAGTATTTAGTTATAATCAAATTAATATATATATATATATATATATATATATATATATAGATATAGATATATATAAATTAACATTTATAGTAAATATAAGAGATGTAAAAAAAATCATTTTTATAATTATGACTATGATAATTTTTTTTAGTACAGATAGAAATTTAACTTACATCATTATGTTCTAAAATGTTATCAATTTCAATATTTTCTGAGATACATGAGCCATTTGGAGAATAATATTTTCCCATTGCAATATTCTGGTTCAAACTGGAGACCCTTGAAGATTTTGATGAAATCTCAATCTCATCCAAACTGGAATCAAGATCTAATTTTTTCTTTCGTTTATTACTACCATCCGAAGATTGACCGAATTTCTTGCCACGTGTCATCATACCAAGAACCTTTGGATTTCCGACAGTCTTAGGAAACAGTTTTTTATGATCAGTGGCACCATTACTGCTTCCCATAACTGAATTATGATCTGATTGAGATGTTCCATTATTAGTATGAAATTTATCTCGCTCGGATTTTCGTGTTGTTCGCCGGCTGACTTTGCTGACATCACTGAAAATAAAGAAAAACCTTTATTTTCTTTTATTTCTTTAATGAACTTAACATAAAAATGCAAATATATATATATATATATATATATATATATATATATATATATATATTGCATCTTTAAGAGGTTATTTGCAGAAAGTTGTCTTATACTCAGTGCTGGATTTACAGTAGGGGCAATCGGGGCTACTGCCCAGGGCGGCAAATTTTGGGGGGCGGCAAAATTTGGATAGTGAGAAAAAAATTCTATACAATATAATCAACTTTTTTTAACAACATTTTTTGTTTAAAAAATATAAGTAACAAAACATAATACGATTGCAATGCAAAATTTTGGTTGAAATAAACGATAACTAAAATTTATTATTTTGCCTTGTCTCCCTCTCCGAACGTAAATTATCAAATTGGTTAATAAGTTATCAAATTAGGCAATTTGGCTAATATAAAGATCTGTAAACAAGCTGAGAGTTTAAGAAAAATATGTTCTTCAGTTCTCGAGCCCTCTTAAAATGACGTATTTGTGCACTTCCAAGCTTATAGCATCGAAAAAAAATTTAAACTAGTGACTCATGGATTGTGCCTTAAGACAAATTACTGAAACATCCCGTACTGAAAATTACATTTTATAAAGAGCTTTAAATTTTATTGAAAAATGAAAAAAAAAAGACTTCTAAAACACATTTTAGTATTTTGAAATTTTTCGAAAATTATGAACTTTTTGCAAAGCAAACGCGCTACGTAGCTGTTTCAAAGAAGAAATATTGAAACCAAATTACCATTTTTCGTAATTGTCTGTACAAAAAACTAATCAGCACGTCTCCCCATCAATACAAATCTAATATTTTTTAATTATTCAAGTCGATTTCAAGAACACGGGCCAAAATGCCAAAAATGATAATTCAGTTTTTGAGAAAAAAGCGTCAAATAACATTCAAAACAATTTACAGAATAAATAACTGCTTAAATTTGTGGGGGGCAGGTTTAGCGGTTTCGATTATCCAATAAAAAAATTTGAAAAAGAAACATTTGACGGACAAAAGTGATCATAAGACATATGCACATTAAATTATCAGATATTTTAAAGATATTATAATAATAAGTATAAATTTTGTTTACATTTATATAAGTTCTGTAACATTGTTTATCAGTTAGACAGCGACGCGGCGCTTACGCGCTTCTATATTTTGTCCCACGCAGCTAAAGCAGCACGATTGCTTTAAAAAAAGTTCGAAAGTTCGTAAAATTTCAGGGATGGGGCGGCATTTTTGTCAGTGCCCCGGGGCGCCAAATTTCTAAATCCGGCCCTGCTTATACTCATGAACGCTTCTAATAGTATTAACATTAGATCAGATCACAACCTGTTACATGATTTTTATTTAAATTGTTTACACTTTTTGACATCCATTTAAGAGCAATAATTAAAGTATTTACATCCTGATATATAAAAACAACACGCTCACATATACACACAGATTTTAATTCAGTGTTTTCTTCTTAAAAATATTATCCGTTCAATAATCAGTTTGTTACCAATAGTCATCCCATAACATCAAGGGAATAATTCTTTTTGTCTCACATAGCAATCTCAAAAAAGACGTAATTTAAAGAAATTCTGAATTACGAAATTTCTTTCTTTGTCTGAATAGAAATTTATAAAATCACTTCTCTGATAAAAAATTTCTTAGTAAAAAAGTGTTAATGTATAATCAATCATACAGGTAATTAATTCTGTTTTTTCAGTAACCTTTTTCTTAAAACTTTCTAAAGCATTCTAATTTTCTTACATTTTTAATATTTTGTTATATAATCCACTCATTTATTTTTATCATTTTTATTTTAATTATATTGTCATATTTCTGTACATTATTTTTTACACAATTTCATTCATTTTACATAAAAAAATCCACCATCTTCTGCTTTTCTTAAACATATTGTTTGCTTAAATCTTATCAAGATCATGTTTCTTGACAGATGTCCTGAACATGGAACGTACCTAGTTCCGAAACGTCGACAGTAAATAAAGAAATGTTTTTTTTAAAAAATCTTTTTTGTTTTTTATAACTTTTTGGATTCTTTGTTCGAAGTTCGACAGTATATATATATATATATATATATATATATATATATATATATATATATGCCTTGGGCGTTGAATAAATAAATAAATAAATAAAAAATGAATAAATATATGCATTAAAGTCTATTTAAAAAACTTTTTTGTTTTTTATTACTTTTTGGATTCTTTGTTCGAAGCTCTACAGAATATACACAAATCCAAGACTCTAACATTCAATATCTTATATATAAAAATCGATCAAATGATTCAGTAAAACTCGAAAACGGCTAAACGGATTTGGCCAGTCTTTGTCTTGAAAAATTCGTTCTAATCAGTAGGTTGTCGGAAAGGTGAGATATTATTTCAAAATTGCGTTGAAACTTTACATTTTTTATTTGAAAATTTTTGTAGAAGTGTAATTAGAATAAAACAATGGACGGTGGCTAATGCGTGAAATGTCAAAGTTTTTGACAGATGATGTTCAATTACGTTTAATATGATGTTTTACATGAATATTATTTAATTATGATTAAATTGTAGTAAGTAGTTCTGTTTGAAAGTTTTTTTTTACACAAAAACGTTATTAAACGGGCCGGAAGTATTACTAGAGACTCAAAATATCAACTTTTTTGCAATGTTAATATGAAAATGCACTTTTTGGCATATTTTTCTCAAAAACGGTGCTCTGAAAGATCTCATTTGTATAATTATATATATGGTATTTATAAACCATTTTCTAGGTTATATTATTTTTTATTCATATTATTTAAATTCAGAACCTAAATTTCGTATCGATCAAAGGGACTTTTTGTCAAATAACATTTTCCCAGTTATAATTTCCCTGAATTTAACGAAGAATAGATAGAAATATATGAAAGTCCGGGGTTAAAAAAGTCCACCACTGATGTGTCAAAAACCACTAAAGTTAAGAATTGTTTAACAACAATATTTGAAGGTAGAGGGAAAAAGATGTATAACCAGCTATAACCTTGATGCTTATGACTCGGGAGATGAACGGTAATCTTTGAAAATCCATAATAGAAGTATTTTCTTCCGTTGGTAGTTTTTTTAGCATTAGTTAAAAATGTAATTGTTTTGTAAAATACCTTTAAAATTAGAATAAGACATTAAACCTGTTTGCCACCTGGCCGTTCCAAGTTACTACGCCTATAGCGTAAAAAAGTCTAGATAACAAATTTTTGAAAGACAGCAAAAAAACACCTTTCTACAATGATGAAGTAGCTGACAGTTTTACTGAACGTAGTCAAGATTTATATAATATCATTAATATTTGCTCAAAGTCAAATTGGACCTTTGTGCCTCGCCCTGCTCTACATATATAGTTTTTATTAAATTTACTTTAATTCATCGAATGTTACTTGAAACTTCTCAAAAAGCAGGTCAAAGAAGAAATACTTAATTCATTTTCTATCTCTCCTCACTGAAATCTGAATTTTTTTTATAAGCTCAGTAGTATTATTTATAATTATACACAGAATCCAGAATACAAAAAAAATCTAAAAAACTTGAAACGTAATCAATAAGTCGAAAGACCAAAAAAGACTTGGATGGATTATACTATGTTTTCTATAGAAAGTGTATAAATCTTCCAGTTTGATTGTACTGACAAAATACAGACAAACTAATTGGGTTTATTGTTTTTATAATTATACTTTATATATAGCATTCAAACAACACATCCTTATACACTTGAAGTATTAATATTTTGATTTTCAAGAAATTGTTTGGAATATACCTTACTTAGCAAAACAACGTTTGCCGGGTCAGCTAGGATATATATATATATATATATATATATATATATTTATATATAAATATATATATATATATATATATATATATACAGGGTGGCTGATATGTAATGCAACAAAGTAAAGTGCAATAACTTTGTCGTTTTCATTTTAAATTTCATTGTTTAAAAGCAAAAATGTCGGAAATAACATCAAATTTTAGAATCAGTTTAGATTTGTTCTAATTGGCCACCTTTGGCACGAATTATGGCCTTCCAACGGCAGAAAAACCATAACACGCTGCACGAAAGTGGCTCTGGGGTATTTTGGCCCATTCCCGGCGAGGCGCCTTCTTGAGATGATCGATATTTTGGTATTTTTTAGTGCGAACCTTATTCTTCAAAATGTCCAAGGCGCAAAAGTTCAACGAATTTAGATCCAGAGATTTTGGTGGCTATTGTGTGATAGAAATGAAGCGAAAAACCTCTTTTTTAAGTCATTTTCGGTAGACGCGTGCTGAGTTTGATGGTGCTGAGTCCTGTTGGAATGTCCATGGTCTGCGGCCGAAATTTTTATCTACCCAGGACTTCAATACTGCCTTTAAGACATTTTCCCGATAATTTCGGCAATTATTTTGATCCCACGGTCGATGAATAAGAGCGGAATGTCACCATCAGCCGTTACGGTGGTTCACACCATTACCGTCGGCAGCGCTTGAGTTCTGGTGGCCAATCGAAGGTGTAAATTTTTAGCTGACCTTTTTGGCAAGTAAACCCTATCATTGTGTTTGATCATAAACTGCTCGATTTGGAATGACTTCCCATCTGAGAAAACCAAATTCGGTAACTAGCCACTTTCGTGCAAGCGAAGCAACCCCTTGGTTCCTTCCCGTCTAACCTTTTTTTGTGCATCGATTAGCCCTTGCACTTTTTGGAACTTCAATGGCTTTAGTCCAAGCTCATTTTTGAATATGTGTTGCATCCGTTTTTACGATACGTTCAGCTCACGTGCCATTTTTTTACCATTGCGACACGAATTTCTATCGATTTTTGCCTATACTTTTTGAATCATTTCTGGGGTTGTTAGTGTTTTTTTTCGTCCACTTTTTAGATGCGGTGCAATACTGAGTGCATCACGGTTACGAGATATGATACGAGAAACAAAATATTTGTTCGCATTTAAATGCTGGAGGTCTCTAAAGATAGCCACTCAAGGTTTTCCAGCCAAATATGAAGCAATCGCACTATCACGCTTGACTTCCACCACAAATAACTTTTTTTCTGAATGCAATAGAACAAAAGGCTTTTGTACGCTTGTAAACAACTAAATGAACAATCACTGGAATAAATCTGTCATCTGTCTGATGAGCGGTTTAGAAATGATAGCGGTCTGAAATTGGTTGCAATACATATCAGCCACCCTGTATATATATATTTATATATATATATATATATATATATATATATATATATATATATATATATATATTTATATATATATATAAATATATATATATATATATATATATATATATAAATATATATAATAATTAGATTTTTTCTAGTACAAGACTCTTATCATAATATTATCAACTTTTTCAAAAATAATTTTTGATTGATTTAATTTTTGATTTAATCTTTGACTTTTGTGTTATCATAGTCTATTTGATTTTATGTTTTATCCTAAACAATCTTCGGGTGTCACGTGACTTTACATCGTATGCATTCGATTTGCTCAGAACTTACATTACACAAATTTTCAGTTTTAAAATTAAAAACAAAACAAGTTCACTTAATATGTTTATTTTCTATATTTATTTTATATGTAATGTATGTATGGTTTATTTTCTATACGTAATATCAAAAAAATGTTTTTTTCTGGTGTCGTATGTATATCTTTTATTTTTTAATTATTTCAAATAAAACATTAAATTTATTTTTTAAACTTTGTGAATATTCTTTTAGATATTGATTAACAAAAACTGCTGAATGATGACACATAATCGGTGTCAAAACAAATATTATAAACTAGTGGGGTGGGTGGCATCGTGCCTTAAGGCAAATTGCTGGAACTTCCCGTACCGTAACGAAATGTTCGAGGAATACTGAATGTTTTCAAATAGATTATTATAAATATTGTAACATTGTCTAATATTTATAAAAATTATATAAACTGAATTGCATAGTTGAAATTATTTGAAAAGTATATTAGAACTATAGTCAGAATTAAAAATAAAATCTGAATTATTTTCGATTTACAAAAAATTAAAAAAAAATTTCCAAAATCAATTATTTTGTTGAGACAAGCAGAAAGTTCTTTGAATCATTCAAATCGGACGCTTAGTTCTCTCAAAAACTGCCATTTTTTACATATTTAGCTCCGTATCTTCGAAATGGCTGGGCCTGCCTTTGCCAAAAACTAATCAACACTTCTCCCAATCATTACTAATTGAATGTTTTTTAGATCATTCAAATCGGATACTCCGTTCTCTCAAAAATTCGATTTCTATTTTCTGCACTCTTTGCTCCGTATCTCCGAAACGGCTGGACCTGCCTTTGCCAAAAACTAATCAGCTCTTTTCCCTATTAATAGGAATCGAATGTTTTTTGAACCATTCAAATCGGTTGATCCGTGCGCCCTGAAACGTGACTGGAAATTTGTATCCATACATACATACATACACACACACACACACACACACACACACATCCATTTTTTCTGAGGTATGCCAAAACGTTCAGAAACCTTCAAAACGTCGAGAAATGTAAAAATTTTCAATTCCGATTTTTGGCCCATTACAATAACACCCTACGGGAAGTTAATAAATATTTTTGTTTATTGTTTTTTTTTATTTCGACAAACGGTTGAAAATCAATATTCAAGATCTATATATATATAAAGTAAATAAAAAAGTATTGCCAAACCTGCCACTCTGAGATATGACATCAATAATTTTCAACCAATTCTCCTCAGCAGATGATTGCGTCTGCCGCTCGCTTTCTCCCTGTACGTATCTCATCCGAAGCTTGTTAGAGCTTATCAGAGACCTCATACGAAAATCACATATGGCACGTGTCAATTTCCAACACTGAGCACAACTCAAGCTCAGTAAACTTTTTTGAAATAACTAAAAATACATTAAAAAATATGAGTTTATAAAATAACATGTCTTTTCACAAATAAAATTGAAAGTTAAAAGAATAGTGAAATAAAAACAAAATAAACATGCAACATGGGGTTCCTTATAAAATGATTTATCCTTAAATGTTTGATTATATCTAATAATATTTGGAATAGAAGTACCATCATTAACATTAAGCAAAACTATAAATTTATTTATTCCAGCATGGCTTATGACAAAAAAAAATATTTCAAATGATCACTAACAACCACTGTAATATATTTGATAAATAAATTATTAACAATTTATTATAATAATAAAACTTTCATATTGAATACTGATTTAAAAGAAAATATTCTTCAAACAAACAAATAGTGAATACATACTATGCATATAATCAGAAATATAAAAAGACAATCAGCTTTAAGTTTACAAATAATATCCAGAACCCCTGAAGACAATAATGTTCTATTTAAAATACAAACAATGTACATAATCATTAATCACAAAGGTGAAAATATATATACATACATATATATATATATACATACAGAAAATTGTATACATGACCAATATATGGTGTCGGGGCTAGTCAAATACTTCAAAAAGAATATTCTATGAAAGTTGTATCAATGCAAACATAATGTGTGCAATAAAATTAACAAACTGTTTAGTGATAGCAATTCAAGAACTACACGGCCATACTTGAAGGAAAGAGATACTAGGAATGAAATAATTACAAAGAAATGTAAATAAATGCACAACAAACTATTCAATTTCTTTCTTTCTTTTTGCAGAAATGTTATTTTTTAATTGTGTTTTTCGTAAAACAGGTGAATATATGTCAGAAAAGCTCACAGAAATAGGAGTTAACTTGACTTATTTTAAGTGATTTTTATCTTAATAAAGCTTCTTGCTCAAAGGCCATGCTGGTATTCATATAAGAATATAATAAATGTATGTATGCCTGTATGTATTTGCATATGCATATAGATGTTATGACAAAAATATCAAATATCAATTTGATACCAGAAGAATTGGCAATTAAAATAATCGCCAAGATAATACATTTACACGATATTATATTTCATACGATTTCCTAAAGGCAATAAGCCACACAAAACATTAAATTTAGCTTTAGAATAATAATTGTAACTAATTATAAAATAGTTAGGTTATGTGATGTTTCCTTAAAACTACAGAATCAAACTTTTATAGTTATAATATAATAGAAATAGAATTCAATACAAACATTTTCACAATCTTTAATTTGTTGAAAGGTAAAATCAGGAACAAACTTTGTAAACAAATTATTAATTTTGACACAGTCCTGCATAGATATATTTTTATGATTTTCAGCACCGCATGTTACACATTGTATTACATTTGATGTATTCTTCGGAATTAGCATTATGGTTAATAAGAATCTTAATTATTATCTTGGTGGCTCACTAACTTGTCATTATTATAAATATATACAACATTTTTGCAACCACAACACCGCGAACTAAACTGAACATGGCGGCTAAATATGAAAAACTGGTATAGTCTTGATATATTATCTTATCTCCAAAGTAATGAAAAATCATATAACCTATTATCATAGGTAATCGTTTTTAATACAATATTAAGTTTTTAGAAAAGATAAATTATGCAATTTAAAATTTAAACAAATACCAAATAAATTTGTTTAAATGTCATAATATTAGTATTGCCAGATATGTTTAAATATAGTAATAATTTAAATGAATTTGGCGCGCAATTTGAAATTACATGCATTCGAGTACTGTTGTTTCATTTTATGCGTTATATATGAGTATGAAGTACAATTGTTAGAATGAAAATAATATGAAAAAGAGATCAAGGGCTTATATCCCAATTATGTAATAAAATTATAAATGATGTCTTTCTGATATCAAAAAGCATAAATATAGTTATGATAAATAAACAATTGTATTACTCCTTCATTAAATTATTTAAGAAAGTAGATTTCGGATCTAAATTATTATTTGTTCGCATCAAAATCTTAAAAAAATTATAGTCTCTCATAATTTAAGCATGTGGAAATGATGACATAGAGGGTGTGACCAGGACTAAGTGCTTATTGATGTGAATAAGATGATATATTCCATAGATAAAAGAAGAGTATATTCTAATTATTGATATATTCAATCAGTCTGACATCGTTGAACAAAATGTACATTAACAAATGTTAAGAAACAATTATATTAAATTAGCAAAGAGTATATTTTTACAAAATACATATTATCGGTATGTTAAAATATACATATACAAATTTAAAACTCTTATGCATAAATAATACAATCATTACAATTTCAGTGCTCTATAGATTAAATATATAAAAATAAATTAATAAATATTTAATATCGACAATGATATATGCATATATATAAACCTATCAATACATTTTTATGAACTAAATTTATAGCAAATATACATAAGTATCAAATATCTATAATAAAAAATGGCAGTATTATTATAATCATTGTATGCAGTTATTTACATAAGTTTAATCATTGTTTTATAAATTTACAATAACAAATGATATTTAAAGATAGATTGATATTAAAGGATATTTCTATAAAAACAAAAAAGAGTTTGAATAATCATGTTTAATCAATTAGTTTTGAAAATGTAATCTTTTCTAATAAGGTATTATTTATTCAAATATCAGTAAAGCAAAAATGTTTTTAACATTTAATCCAAATCAAAATATAATAAGGAATATTTAATGATAAATATATATACTCTCTCATTGATCATTATCTTTTAGAATTTCCATCAGGATTCGATTCGAGTTCATATAATGGTACGTATAAAATTAAAATTTCTAATATTTGCCATGTAATTTCCATGCTATATTTAAAAAAGCTACTTGTTTCTGATTAATTGATATTATTAGGGTATAATACTATATAGTATAAAAGGTATGTTTATATAAAACTAAAAATCAGTCTGTTATTATGGACTTTAAATATAAAAAATACTATTATAAGTAAATATAAATATTAATATTGTGAAGGGATTGGCATCAGATATTATACTAAATTTAATAGTGAATTGCATTTGTCTTATAAAGATTAATGCTAAAGTTATTTGAAAATGAGATTGGAACTTTTCATTCCATCACTTTAATACTTGTGCATCATTAAAAAAAATTAAAATATCAGTCTCATACATATATAATAAACAAAGTATTCTGACATCACTTTCTTCTTGTTTTGAATGTTTTATAATTCTATTCAAATATAATCAACAAAAATATTGATCTGTGATTGTGGCTTTATATAATTGTGATAGTTAAATATGAAAATTTTAAACTTGTTAATAGAGGTTAAATATTACAATTAACACATTAAATATTAACGTTTCACAAATTAATCTAAGTGTGCGTACCGTGGCACAACATCTTTACTTATCCAAAAATCACAATGTGGGTAATTTGTTTTTGGTATAACATCCTGTCCAATGTCTAACACGCGTCCTAATCCTTCTTCAAGTTGAGGAATTTTACCATGCCATACATAGTAGTAGAATAACTGTTGCATGGCCGAAACATAACGTCTTTGTTCTGGGGTTCCAGATTCATATCGGCCTGTAAAATAATTAAGATTAAAGAGTTTTTATAAAAACACTAGTTGTATTTTGCCTTAAGACAAGTTGTGTGTAACTTAATTAATAAGAATAGAGATTCAGCAATTTAGGTAAAATGTTCAACTGCTTATTCCGAACATAACATTTTCACTTAAAAATAATTGATACGATTTCCTATTGATGTTTTTCAAACACTTATAATATTTGTAATCGTATAAGCTAAATTAATTTGTTTAATACATTTCAACGATTTTGTGTTAAAAAACGTTTTTGAACTTTTAAAGGACAAAAATTTTACACTTTTCTGCCAATTATTAAAAAAAGGGCTTAGCTTAAAAAACTGAGCGCTGGTCCTTATAGAGTTACATCTAAGAGCTTTAAAATTATTAAAAACGACAATCAAAATGGAAAACCTTCAAAGTTGAACCGGTTGAATAAAATTTCTGTATAAACATTTAGCAAAATAAAATGCAATTTAATAAACAATAGTAGTAATCTTCATACATGATTTATAAATCTTTAAATTGCTGGACATAATCAAAATAACAATTTAATAATATCAAAATCCCATATCATCCAAAAACTCACCTAAAATAGCTTCGACGTCTGAGTCACCATCTGCAAAACCATCAGGTCTAGTCTGAGTCACAACATAAAAAGGTATTCCTGGCCTTTGCAAAGTGATGGTCAACAAGGGACAAACTGTTCGTATATCAGATATCATTGCCACTAAACCTGCAAATGTTGTATTGTACATTCTAAGGGCTTCTTCAGCCAATCCTAGTTTCCCTAATCGACTGTCTCTCACATGTTTGGCAACTAGATCAGGTGTCCAATCAGCATGCTTAAACGTAATTTTTCAGTAATAGATGCATGAACAGTAGTACCTAAAAAAATTAAACCGAATAAATTTACAATAATACTTCTCAGAATATATAAGATACTAATTAGATGAAAAAGAAATAACCAAAATAAGTTTGATTTTGATTTATGAAGTAATATGAATGCTTACCAATAACCATGTTGACTTCACCATTAGCTCCTTGTTCATTATTATTATTTTCTTTAGCCCAAACATCTGCAGGATGTTCCTTCAAGATATTCCCATCTAAAGCAAGCCATTGGTGTCTCTTATCAGGTTCTTCCAGCACACCTGGTAGATCAGGAGAAGATTTTCTCCAAGTGTCAGGAACTGCTTCAAGCAGATCCTCAGCTTCAGCATTTCGAAGACATTCAACATCACTACACTTTATTTGTTGAAGATAACGTTCATTGGCCAACTCGGTATCGCGTAATGGCTGACCCGGAAAAATAGCTGAGCCTGAAGCTACCCAGACGCGTGAAAACTTTTTCTTAGCTGAGAATAAAAAAAGTTTGTTAAAATAAATTATATAAAAAGCTTTTTACCAGTTATATAAAAAACATTAAGTTTTATTATCAATTATATTATTCTAAAACAATTATTTTAGGAAAGTTGTGATGATGGTTAATATTGTTTATTAACCATCATCACAACTAATAACCATTAGTTTATTTCGTTTTTTAAGTATTCAATAGTAAATAATATTTTAATAAACCAAACCTTAATAATAAATATAAATTAATAATACATATAACTTTCTTATTATTATTGCAACATATTTTACAAAATTACCTAATTTGGAAGTAGCTAGTAATGTGACCAAAGTAGCTCCAGATTTATGTCCAAGCAATGTTACTTGTTCTGGATCACCACCGAAATGTCTGATGTTCATTTGCACCCAATCCAAAGCAGCCAAAATGTCCGAAAGACCATAGTTACCAGATGTTGGTGGATGAACGGATTTGGTTAAAATTTCTGCGGCCAAGAAACCTAAAACACCAACTCTAAAATTTGGTCTAACAAAAACTACGTCCCGAGATCTAGCATAGCGCGCAGATGGCCTGAGTTTATCAGTAGAACCTCCACTCATGGACTCAGCACCTAATCAAAATAAGCATTTATTTTAATAGATTGAAATAGAACACTATCATAATCACTAAACAATGATAATAATTATGCATATTACAATTATAATAGTACCCCGACTTACGATTGACCCGATATGCGAGTGTTTCGAGATATGAGACACCAAAGAAGCGATTTAGTTGGCGCCTCGAATCTTGAGCAAAATTCGAGATACTAGTTTTGATAAAGTAAGAGTTTTTTAGAAAAAATGAAAATATAACCCATTTCGTCAGTAGTAACAATGATTGTTCAACCAAAGAAATATTTTGACTGTTTTATGACAGCAAATTATTTTATAGTAAGCCATTTCAATTGTATATTAAGATTAATTATGTAGAAAACGATTTACCTACGCCAATATATCAAAGATTATTATAATGTTTGAAATTTCGAATAAATATTAATAGTGATTGTACAGTTGTATTTGTTGATGGCAAGTATGTACGAACGATAGTTTCCATGAATGGACAGGAAAAAACAGAAATTAAATCAGTAAATAATAATTTATTTCTAGTATTCTGAAACAAGAATACAACAGAATTAATGGCATTGCAATGCATTTATATGGAAAAAATGGTTTCGAGATACGAGCGATTCCAAACACGAGCGTGGTTACGGAAATGTTAAATGATAAGATAAATAAAATGGGCTTTATAATTTAAAATAAACGTCACATAAATTTAACATAAATCATATAATAATATAAGTTCTTCATATCGAGTTAATAGCCAGATACGTACCTATTAAAACAACGACTGGTAACGGATTATCATATCTAACATGCGGTGTAACAACGTCCAATGTCAAACAATCTTCATCTCCGTCAATAGTTCCATTAGCATAACTCTGCCAGCATGGCCTGGTAGCATTATGAGCTTCGAAAGTTCCATTCCAACATTTATCCAAAGAGTTCAGAGGACTAGCAGCAGCCCAACGTAGTGGACCGACCGGTGGCTCTGCATAAGGAATTCCACGAAAAGCAAAAGCACTATCTTCAAGTAACCTGAATAAATAAATTATTATTTAAATCTTTCAATGCATCTTTTCATTATCAATCAAAATATATTACGTAGCAACAATTTTAAAAATAATCACATGCCAATGATAGTGATTTTTTTATAAAAATTATTTATATATAAATCAGAAAAACATTTTATGAGTGAAAACAATTTTCTGATAAGTGGTTCATAGTTAAAAATTTGTAGTTAAATTAGGTATCATTATATGCAGTTATGAAATAAAAGAAATAAAAATGTAAATTCTAAATGCAATTCAAGTTTGAAACAAATTCTATTGTCATTGTTTTTATATATTGTTACTATTACTATGCTTATTTATACAAATTATATGATTATTATACAAATTGTACAACACAAAATTAAAGTAGATCAGTTTGGAGTCACATAACGTTTTGCATCGTAAAGAGTAAAGAATATAATAATAAAGTTTAATAAAGTAAAAAATAACGAATTCGGTTGAATACAAAATAGTTTTTTTTAAGAAAATACGATTCAAAAACAATAAATAAGCTAATTAAAAATATGATAACTTACCCTTCAACCATTCCACAAGAAGTAACCGCCTCAACATATTTTCCTTCGCGCACTGGTGCCGAGCTGGGAGGTGCAGGACCACCAGCAAGCAAGCAACATAATATAATTATCAAAACCAACAAAAATAAAAGAGTTACAGCAATTGGGTACTTGAATTTTAATAATGTCTCTCTCCATGTTAACTGAACAAAATCTGGTTCATCAGCTTTCTCCTGGAAACAGTCAAATAATACACTGATCCATATCTAATGTAAAAAAATTATATCATCATTTATATATTTTCAGAAAAACAATTTTTATATTACAAATCATTAATAAAAATGTTAAGTTCTAAATAAAAACCAATATCTTTTATCTTTTTTATACCAGGAATGAAAATAATAAAAACCATAACAACTAATAAATTTATCAAAATTATTAAAATTTAAATATATTTGATAATATTAACACAAGTCTTAACTATTGGGTTAAAAAGGTTGCAAATATTTAAAGGAAAATGATATATTGCAATATAAAATGATGAAAATATACCTTATCCAACTTTACAGTCTCCATATTGTCTTCTTTATTATCACTTAGTGGTTGCTGTCCATCCTTAGAATCATCAAGTGTCTCCATGGAAGCCAAACCGGCTCTGGCTGCTCCTTTTTCAGCATCTAATGGCCTTGGTCCACGCTTCAGTACATTTTCTAAAGGACCACGAATAGCCGCCAATAATATCCGGCCTTTCGAAGGCTGTCCATCTTTACCTTCATTAGAAGTTGGAGCTTTTGGCTCTTCACCTTCAGTAGCAGCTGGTGGTTGGGATCGCCGTTTCGTGAAGGGATTGGTCATCTTTAATGATAATCTGTTGTTAGATTTACGTGCTTCCTCAGCTTTAGGATTCTTTTCAGTGCAACTGGCATCGACTTGCGGTACGACCTCTAATAATTCATTATCGGCTCCATCGTTTTCGGAATCCTGTGAAATAATAATACATATTTGCAAATACAAAAATTGAATAATACTTAAGGCAGTGATTTCCAACCTGGGGGGCGCCATACCGTTCCAGGGGGGGGCGCGAAGCTGTTTCAAAAATATTATTTTTAAATGCTGAGTAAGTGTCAAAAACAAATCAGCAAAATACTTAAAGTACTTCTAAGAGTGTTTGAGCTCAAAAAAGAAATTGCTATATTTCTTGCTGATAACAAAAAGACGGAGCAATCTTGTTTTAGGACACAAAGTTCCTCGCAAAATTTGCGTATTTAGTTGATATTTTTCAAAGACTTAGCGATTTAATTAAATCAATGCAAGGATCTCAAATTCGTGCTTTTGTTCAGAAAGAAAATTACGGCTTTAATGAAAAAATTAGAACTGTGTATTAGCTAGCATCAAATAACTTTATAACTATAACATGTTTCCCACTTTTAAAATTACTTGTATGAAATAGAAGTAAGTAAAGATCTTATTATTATACCAGTCATATGACTAGTCTACAAAACCAATTTTCGGATTACTTTATCTAATTAACGTCCAAATACGAATGTATTGACTAGAAATCCATTTGTCATTGAGAAACATGATGATTTTGGTCATTCAACAGCAGAGCAGAAAATGATAATTGATTATCTAGTGATAGCACATTGAAGCAGATGTTTCAGGACGAAAATATATTGTTAAGTTTTGGTTACCAGTAAAGAACGATTTTCCTACTTTGGCAAATAATGCTTTAGAAATTTTATTACCATTTGTAAGATCTTACTTATGTGAAACAGAAAATTCTTATAATAAATAGTTATATTTGTATGTATATTTTTTATAATACTGTTTATTATTTGGCATAATTTCAGTTATATTAAGGATATTTAAATTCAATTGTTAGAAAAATAAGAAGGGAAGGGGGGCGCAATATTTTTTTATTCGAAAGGGGGGCGCAAGAAAGAAAAGGTTGGAAGAAACCGCTGACTTAAGGTAATTCTCAAAAAATTCCAATTTCACTTATAATATCTTTTATTCGACTGACCTTGTTACATTTCTCCTTGGATTTGCTTCTAGTGAAAAATCCAGGCATTTTGATGCCACCAATTGGTATTTTCTTAGGTTTAACTTCACGTCCTTCTTCGACTAAAGCGGCTGCTTTTGCAGCTACTGTTACCGGCGTCTCATCTTCTGCCTTATCAGTTTTGGCTTCGTTTCCTGCATCTTGAGTTTTGTTTTCTGCGTTCATCATGTTTTCTAGTTCTTCGTTCTCTATTTCTTTCTTGTCGGTGCTTTTGTTATCACTGCTGAGGTCTTTATCTTCTGCGACCAATGTTGAGCTCATATTGATAGCTCAGGCTCCTGCAAAAAAATCGATCAATTTAAATCTTTCATCTTTGTCAAATAAAATTATAATAAAATTTTTCGATCTATTTATTTTAGTTAGAACTAGTTGTGCATATTTTAAATATAAGCAATATCAGCTAAAATCCAGATTCTTTTGTGTCTTTCTTTGTTTTGGACAACTATAACTGTAAAATGTACATTAATTGCAGAAAAGTACTATTTGAATTATATTGGTTTCTTTTTAAATTTAAATATTTTATCACGAGCCAACGTTCTTTGCACGGGAGTGCCTGGAAGGACTTAGATATATATTTGATCTAAATTTTTCACACAAAATAAAAAATTATTACGTAGATTCTAGCAAGAGTGCTTGGTAATAATACACACTAAATTAAATGAAATACAAGAAAAACGTATAAAAGAAGATGAGAAAAAGAACTTGTACTGATAGTAATTAGTTGTTTTACAGAATTTCACGTTTAGAATAATTTTTGGGTGTTCTCAAATATAGATTTTTCATACAATTTCGATAAACTTCTCTGTCGCTAAGATGAGGACACCAAATAATCAATTCATACTCATGTTAGGAGCTTACAATGCAATTGGTCATAATTAGTAGGGTAGAGCGGGGCTTGTTGAGCATGAGGGCAAATTGAGCAATTTCGAGAAATATCTCAAAAGCTATTGACCGTCCATTTAGGCATAATATGGCGGAAAAATAGAGGTTTGGGAGAAGTAAACATCCCGCGATCGCAAGTGGCCGCTGGACAAATGAGTGAGGCTCACGGGCGTTTTATTTATTTTGAGACCAAAAACTGAAAAAGTCATTCATCACGAGTTTTCGTTTGGTTTAGTCAAATGTAATTTGTTTTTAATCAAGTAAATGTTAATCTTCCACATAATTATTGTACTTTTAATATGCACATAAACTCATTTTGATTTTGAAATTCCGAGTTGGGGTTAGTTGAGCATAGTTGCTAAACTAGTTATGTCACTAACACAATTACCATTAAGTTCCAAAAATTAATTATTATTTTTAAGATTTAAGCTAGGTCTATGAATATAATGATAAAATTATTCCTAAAATACGGTATTGCTTTGTTGATTCTACTTTTGGTTAATTATTCAAAGAAAATTGCTATAAGTTTTGTTTTCTCCGTCAATAAAGGCTATAAATATAGAACTGATTATTAAAAACTTATTTTATTTCATCACTAATCGACATAGAACCTATGGTTTCATTATACTTTCTTAATGCTCAACTTGCCTCACCTATGGGGTACATTGAGCATACTTGACTTTTTGCATTAAAACGGCTGTAGCTCTTAAATTTTACTTATTACCAAAAAATATTATTGACACTTTTGTCAAGCGATAAACAACAAATCCATCAAGCCGCATAACAATTTATTGAGAATTATCATTAAGGAGCTACATCCGTATAAGTAAAAATTTACTTAACTAGCCCCGCCCTACTATACTGGTTTGTATCAAATTCTTTACCATTCCTTAATACCATGCCTAATGAATTATGTGCATTAACGTCAATTTTAGCTATAAAGACTGTAAAAGACTAGTTCCAAACAAAATACATTAAATTGTTTTGTCACATTTTTCTGCAGGTATTAGAGATTTTGTAATTAAAATATATTGGAACGCGCTCTTTGGAATCATATTTCCAGTTTCTGGCAATCACTGGCAATGGTCAGATTATCAGTATTTATTCATTAGTATTTGAAGAACTTAGCATTAAATTGTCCGACAATCGTTGATATAAAAAATTGAAGATATAAAAAACATCTTTCTTTCACAAATTCAAACTAATGAAAGTATTTAAAAAAAATCTTAAAGCTGTTTCTGAAAAATTCGAATTCATTTTCAGAGGCTCTGAAAACAACGATTAGAGACCACGTGTGGTAACAATTCTAAAGCGAATAGTTAAAACAACAAAATAATATTTTTAACGACCTCAGCAAGACGATTTAACTGCAAGCACGTGTGATTGCTCTTATTTAAATCTAAATCATTTTCAAGTGGATTCTTTAAAATAGAATTGGAACGCGTGTAACTGTTGGGGGTTCCAACATTCATTTTGAAATAACGACTGTAAATGCCTGGATCATATGGCATAAATAATGTGTCTTTGCTTAGACCGGCAGCAGGGCTGGAACACCTTAGTGAGTGAATTTTTTTTGTAAAAAGTAAAACATGTGCCTTAGAATTTCCCATCATATTTTTGATATAAGCTCTATAGTTCCTTAATAGAAAATTGGAAAATCGAATATCAACACTGTTAACAAAAGAGTAGTAATTATACATCAGATAGAAAAATTATTAAACTAGCCGTGTGTGGCATCGTGTCTAGGACTATTGCTGGAACTTTCCCTACCGTAATTTAAAATTTTTTAAAGATTTTTTAAAGATTTTTTTGAGACTTTTGAATTTTTTCTAACACTTTTGGAAAACATTTGAAAAATTTGAATATTGAAAGTATGCCTTTTGAAAATCAAGAATATTTTTAAAAAAATACTGGTAACATTTTGAAAATTTTGAAATTTTTTGAAAGTTTTTTATTCCCTTTCACGTCGGTTTATCCATGCTGTCGAAAACTTCCGAATTTTGACCGCCAAATGGCATGTTTTTAAAAACATTTTTACTCGATCTTCAAAACCGCTAGACCCGCCTTTGCATAAAATTATTCAATTCATCATTACGTCAATACAAGTGTAAGTGAAATGTTTTTTGTATCATTCAAATCGGATGCTCCGTTCTCTCAAAAACTCAATTGCCGAAAAGGCTGGACATTTCTTTGCCAAAAACTAAACAGCATGTCTGCCCAACAATAGAAATCGAATGTTTTTTTAAAAATTGAAATCGGTTGCTCCGCGCGCTCAAAATAGTGGACGGAAAATTGTACCCACACAAAACAGACTCACATACACATCAATTTTCGTAAGGTATGCCAAAATGTTCAGAAACCTTTGAAACGTAAAAATCTGCGAAAATTTATTAAATCATTTTCGACTTTTTGATGATAACTATAACTAACCCTATGTGAAGTTAATAATATTGATTAATATTTTATTTTAATTTTAATTTGATATTATAATAGATTTGATTAAAAATAATATCTTGAATAAATTCCAAAGTGGCAAATTGTAACTTATTGTAACTTACAATAATAAAGTCCTCCCTGAAAAGTGCCAAAAATATAACTATTTACAGTGCCTAAAAATACAAACAATAGTTCATGACAAAATATAGTGAAATAATTCCACAATAGTCTATTATTATACACGATTAGCATCAGGACAACTTGGTTATAGTACAAAAATGTTTATTACCCCTGTCTTTTAACATCTGTCAGTTTCCAGTACAAAACGATCTCTTCTTTTGTTAACAACAGATCATGTATCGGCAATAAAACCATTTAAAAAAAAACTATTCGCTAATACCAGCATTAAATTTGGGCGCCAAAATGTATATCAAATATTTAACAGTTGTTCAAATAAACCTTGTAAGTTATCGTAGTTTTGCTGAGAAATAAATTAAAAAATCTGTAAAATACCTATTGAAGCGTTTACGACACATAAGTGGGATTGATGACAAATACTAACTTAATATTCATAAAATCTAATTTTATTTAAAATTAGATTGGATATATACCAATAAAATGTATTGATGTGTTGAAAGCAATATTTATAATTATGAAATCGTGTAATATAATTAATTTGTGCTAAACTTCTTTTCTCAGTTCCATTGTTTTATTGGTATTTTTTTATGGTAATACTAAATTTTTCAGTATTATTGGTAGCTCTAACACTATTGTAAAAGATTAATAATAATATAAACTCTATATTAATCTGTTTTTCTACCATATACATAAAATAAATATATAGGGTGTTGTCCCAGAACTTAAAACGTCGAACCGAAACGTTTTCATTTTTTTGCTCTAAATTTTTCAATAATAAAATTATCAAGTATTTTATCATAATATAATCCTAAGTCTTGATTAACAAAAATAAATTGTAACAGAAAAAAAAAATATAATCCTGATTAAATGCACCAACTTTTAATGAAATATGCCAACACACTTTGGCACATTTTTAAAGTCTTTTTAGGACCTATCCAAGTCGACCGATTTTATTAATTAATAAAATTATAGTTCAACAAAAAGTCTTTCTTTTTGAAATCTTGTAACAATTGTGTTATTATTTTTGACTGCGAAAATGTTATTCACGATTACCGTTCGAAAGTTTGAATAAACAAAATTAATCTTGATTTAATTAATTAAATTAAAATTAATCACAAATAACCGAAAAATTGTCATAATTTTAGGAAAGCTCTAGATCGTACTTAAAAACTCACAATTTACCAAACAAGAAAGTTAAGGTCAAAACTATCACCCACGTTTCGGTTTGACTTCAAGTTCTGGGACACCCTGTATAAACAAACAACACTTTTCGTAGATCTGTAATATTTTGGAAAATTCGTTAATAATGTGAATTTAATCATCATACAAAGTTGTATTCAAATCGCCTTACGATTTTTTTTCAAACAATTAACGGCGACTGATTTTTAAGGATTTTTGGACACCTTCTCCCCACTTGGTAATACGTGATAATATTTAAAATTATCACCAACATCACGTGTATTTTTAGTACCTAGAAAAAACGTTAAATTTTGATTTTTTTTAATTCAGGTAAAAAAAATTTTACACCTTACTAGAACCTCATCCCCTCACGTAAATTTTGTGATTTTTTTTCACCCCCCCCCCTCTCTTTTAAGTCTCACATGATTAATGGACGCCCCAAAGCAAAAAGCAAAGTACAATTTGAATTTTTAAAATCAGTTCAGGATTTTTTTTCCAACGCGGAAGAAAAAGTTAGCACCATTTTTTGTAATGTGTTCCAAAATGTTCAGAGGGTCCTGACCCTGACTCGTAAAGATATATAAAAATTCGCATTTTCGAATTTCTGTTAATGATAAAAAAATAAATGATCAAACTAATCAAT